AAATTGTGGTCAATGTCATGAGACAAAGTGTATGTGAACTGCTGTATGGAAAGTGAATTTGCTCTGTAAATTTTCACCCAAATCACAATTAAAAAAGAGAGAGAGAGAGAGAGACACAGACAGAGAGTTGCAGAATGGATAATAAAACATAACTCATCAATATGTTGTCTACAAAAGACACATCTTAGAGACAAAAACAAAAATAGACTAAAAATCAAAGGCTGGAAAAAGATACATCAAGCAAATGGTACCCAAAACAGAGGATTGGCAACACTTATTTTTGATAAACTTGACTTTAAGAAAAAAACCCACCATAAGTAAAAAGCCTGGTATTGGTTTAATGACAGATACATAGACCAATGGAATAGAATTGAGAACCCAGAAATAGATCCATCGAAATATGGTCAGCTGATCTTTGACAAAGGGCCACAATCCATTAAACAGTGAAGAGACTGTTGTTTAATAAATGGTGCTACCTCCTCGGAAGGAAGGTTGGGCAACCCTACTTCCGTAGTGATACTGCCTCGGAAACCCAAGGAGGAGGCGCTATGAGTTGGGGCAGACTCAACAGCAAATAACACATAACCCTAACTGGATATTCATTTGCAGAAAAATAAAACAAGATGTGGACCTCACACCATATGTAAAAACTAACTCCAGATGGATCGAATACTTAAATGTGAAACCTAAAACTATAAAGTTCCTCAAGGATAAAATAGGGGCAAATTTAGGGGCCCTAATATATGGCATGTATGACATGGGAGCTCTGGTGCTGTAGTGCCTAAGGCATCTGACTGCTAACCAGAGGCTGTTGGTTCAAACCTACCAGCCACTCCTTGGAAGGAAGGCTGGTCAATCTATTGCTGTAGTGATAGCGCCTCGGAAACCCAAGGAGGGGTCGCTATGAGTCAGATCTGACTCAATAGCAACAGGTGAATATATAACACATAAATAAACTATCAAGCATAACCTAAAATCCACAAACAGCAGAAGACAAACTAGATGAATGGGACCTTCTAAAAATTACATTTTTAAGTGCTTCCAAAGACTTCTCCAAAAGAGTAAGAAGAGAACCTACAGATTGGGAAAAGTATTTGGCAACGATGTATCTGACAAGAGACTTATTTCTAAAATTTACAGACAACTCCAGCACCTCTACAACAAAAAGGCAAATAACCCAATTAAAAAATGGGTAGAAGACATGAATAGACACTTCACCAAAGAGGACATTCAGGCAGCCAACAAACACATGAAGAAATGTTCACAATCACTGGCTATTAACTCAAAAACTCACTGGTGTCGAGTCGGATCCGACTCACAACAACCCCTCCTTGGGTTTTTGAGGTGGTATCACTACAGAAGTAGACTGCCCAATCTTCCTTCTGAGGTTAGCCATTATAGAGATGCAAACGAAAACAACAATGAGATATCATCTTCCCCCAGCACTAGTAGCAAAGTTCAAGGAGACAGAAAATAACAAACGCTGGGAGGATATGGAGACAATGGGATTCTCATACACTGCTGGTGGGACTGTAAAATGGAAACCACCACAGTGGAAAGCAGTATGGAGATTCCTTAAAAAGCTGGAATTAGAAATTGCCTTTGACCCGGCAATTCCATTACTAGGTATATATCCTAAAGAAGTGAGAGCAAGGACAAGAACAGATATATGAACACCCATGTTCATCGCAGCATTATTTACAACAGCAAAAAGATGGAGACAACCTAGGTGCCCATCAAAAGAAGAATGGATACCCAAACTACACACACACACGCAATGGAATACTATGCAACCCTAAAGAATAACAACTGGCAAAACACCACATAACACGGATGAACTTAGAGGTCATTATGCTTAGTGAAATTAGTCAATCACAAAGGACAAATATTTTATTAGTCCATTACTGTAAAAACTCAAGGAAAGGTTTATATATGGAAGGAAATTTTGTTGATTACCAATGGGAGGGAAGTGGAGGGAACACTCTTAGATAGGTAGAGACAATACTGATTTAGGTGAAGGGAAGAGCAAGGTACCAAATGTGAGTAATCTACATGGCAGCACTGAGGGAGACGACACAGAGAGGTGCACGGGAGCTACAGACAACAAAAATGAACTCTTCTGCACATATAGTACTGCATTATCAGTGATGGCAAACATTGATATACACATGGATATATGGGTGGACAGGTTGAATGATTAGGTATGTCTATACAGGCAGGGAGTGTGCCCATGACCATGTATAGGATTGGCAGACAATGTTTCTACAAGTATATTTGTACGTTCTGTAAAAATTTCCAGGTTGTAGTCACCTTCTAGCCACAGCCAGCTACCTGGAGGGAGAGAGTAGTTGGACCTGTAGGCTCGGGACCATGGTCACAGGAGACATCAAGCTCAACTGGCATAACATACTACACAAAAACTCTGTTCCACATCTACTTTGGTGAGTAGCAAATGGGATCTTAAAAGCTTCCAAGCAGCCATCTAGATGCAACTCAAGGGGTAGGAGCGCATGGAGGGATGGACAGAGGGAAGAGATAGCTATCGGGAGGAAGTGAGAGAGGAGATGTTGCATTATGCTAAATTGTGGTCAATGTCATGAGACAAAGTGTATGTGATATGCTGTATGGAAAGTGTATTTGCTCTGTAAATTTTTACCCAAATCACAATTAAAAAAAAAAAAAATGTTCTAGATAACCCAGCAAAGAAAAGCTCTAGTTTCTGAATATTGTTTATAAAAAGTATTTTCATCAAAAAGGAAAATTTTAAATTCAGCCATACATTTTTAAAATGGGATCACATTCTTACCTGGAGATTTGATGTCCAGCATAGAGGAGCAGGGCGGTCAAAAAATACAGGTAAAGCTGAACCAGATGCTGTCTGGGTAAAGTTAGTAGCACAACACTTAAGATATAACCTATAGAAGAAATTAAGAGAGAGATAAATAAACTGTGTTTCTAATTCATTTTCCCAATTAATTATACTCAAACAGAAAGAGCTTAAATTAAATTACTTCCTTTATTATTAGGTTTTAATGTCTATGTTCTCACTTTACTAGTAAAGTTTGGCATATTAATATTACTATGGATTTTTGTTGTTCAAACTAAAGATTTTTTTACTTCTTTTGTATAGATTTTTCTACTTTACAACCAAATACACTACACAGTGGTACAATATAATTCATCACCTACTTTCCCTTGATCTCTACTTATTTGTTCTATACCTATTCTGTCATTCTCTCTCGTTCCAGAAAAAGAATCGAGCCACTTCATGCTTAAGAAAGACTGCCCCTTCCACTTAAGATTGTATTTTTCCAACTCCTAAGAACCCTCATCTCCTGCATCTTCAATCATTGCCCTTAGCTCTTTTCACAGAGATGTGCAGGGCTCATCCTCATATTTTAAATAATAATTTAATCCTGATTTCTCCTTTATCAATCACATATATTTCTCTCATCTGACTGCCAAATGTTTCAAATCAAATGTTTCAATGCCTCTATTTTCTAGTTTCCACCTTTACTCTACAACCTAGCTATCCTTCCTACTCTAAAGAAACGTGAAAGTCAAAAATTAAGTCACTTGTCACACCTAAGGTATCCGGCTTATCCTTATCTCAGCATGAGGAAATGATCCTCAAAATGCTTTTACTCTTTGGCTTCTGTAACATGGATTTCCTGTTACCCGTTGACTTCTCTCCACTTTTTTTCCCCACCTTCTCCAGAGAACACAGAAATTATGGTCCCTGAAACTTTGCTTCTCTCTCTATAAAGTATTTAGCTCGAATAATCTATTCTGCTGCTTCAAATATCCCCTTCTAAATGTATGTAAACCACAAATAATTATTCAAAAACACATACAATCATTTCTTATTCTAAGTTGATGTCATATATCTCATGATACCTGAGACACATTCCACTTAAATGTTCTCATATTCAACAAGTACAAACTGAACTCCCTTCTTCCTCCCTCAGCAAGCTAGCTCACATTCCTTCACTCTCCTACATTCCATTCACTCTGACTCAAAACGTGAGCCATCTTTTCACTTTTACTACCAAGTCCTACTGATTCTTGCTCAATACGTCTCTCATGTTACCTTTCTAATCTCTATTCCCTGCCTAATCTGCTCTGTAATGCAACAGTATTAAGTACTATCCTTCTTCAGTCTCTCTATCCTCATCCTCATACATCTTATATACTTCACTACCAAGGTAATAGGAGCTCTGGTAGCATAGTGCCTAAGGCACTTGACTGCTAACCAGAAGGCTGGCAGTTCAAACCCACCAGCCACTCCTCGGAAGGAAGG